GTGGCGAGGGCACCGCACTCAGCTTTAGGGATTAGGGTTTATAGGGTTATATGGGGATAGTGGAAAAGAAAGGGGAAACTACTATAGGATTTAGGAACAGATTGTTGGGGCCACGAAAACAAAGACTGATTTGGATTGCCTCTCTCTTGCAGGGGAACCGTGCTCCCAGATGCACGAGAATGCGCGCAATCAGGTTATAGTAGTCATAGTAATAATTCTAGTAGCCGCAATAATAATACATTCGTCAAATAATAGAAAGAATGGTAGAATATATTCGTCACATAGTAGAAAGAATGTAATGGCAATAGTAGATTCTACACAAGTCTGCGGCTCACAGCCTGGCAGATTTGGGTCCTGGCCATTTCATATCGATTACAGTGGTTTCCAGTTTCTTCTCCATTATACTTGTAGAAGCCATATATATATACACACACATAATGTAGCCCGCTATTATAAAGTAGTACTGTAGCTTCCATTTTCTTCTCCAATATCCCGTTGTAAGTTCTATGTTCCAATATACTATAATAGAAGCATATGCACTGAGCAGTACTGCCTATTTCTAGATAATGGCAGACTTTGACAGTTTTTCCATCGATGGCAGTCAACTATTTACTGATGTAAGATTTTTGGGGCCGAGTTTGGTATGATCATCAAGAAAGTCTTGTGATGCACCGCCCGCCTTTATCGTGCGTGCGTGCCCAGACCTAGAACTTGGAAGTGCCAAGGACCTACATACCTTATTACTTCCTGAAGAAGCCGGGGACCTGGCATGGCGTGGTCCCTGCAGTTGCAGAAGGGACGCTGAAGGTATCAAGTCAGGTTGTTCGCGAACCTAGAAGCTGTACCTACCTACCTGAAAGAAGCAATCAGCTTGTCTGCCGCTCAATGATGTAGCAGTCTACAAAATCAGAATCAGATTTGGGAGTATACATCATATCGGACCAGAATAGCCATTCTTATTCAGAGACCTGTTGCTTTGGCTGCAGGCGCCTGGAGGACATCCATGAGGGGCGCTATAACGATGCTTTGCGGGAGCTGCACGAGCCCCGGGCGGCAGGGTTTGCGGGCAAGAGTGCAGGGCATGGAGCGGGAGACAGCAGGCGAGGGCGAGATGGGGAGTACGTAGCTCGACAAGTCTTCGCGACTTGGCGCCGACCACGCGGGAAACCAAGAGCCATCATGGATACCCAAGCGATGGCGAGCTCAGCGACGGCGATGGCTGCCACTCTACCACCACTGAGATGGCCCTTTACAAGCAACGATGAGGATAGCAAGGGGAGCTGAGTTTGGACCGCAAGCGCTATGCAGCATGACCATGTTTACACATGTCGTGTGTAGCTGGCAGGCTTGAAGCCAGCCAGCGACAGCACATCCCAGTTCTGAGAGAGGGAGAGACATGAGTAGGCTTGGAAACAAATGTCTGCAACCTCAGCACACTTTCTACAATCCGAGAAAGCTCAGCGACCAAATTGCTGCCACAAGTAGTAAAGGTGGGTGACAGCGTTCCTTCACGTTGCCTCCCTCTGTAAAGCTCCACCAATTCAGAAGAATTCAACGGAGCCACGAAGCCTTAATGACTCGTTCTTTCTCTCACCATTGCTCATCGTGTTGCTGACCTTCTACAAGTGCACAGGAGGGTGGAGGACATCCCTGTATTTTTCCAACTATAAATGGTAGTTTTCCTGAACAGGGGGATCCCAATATAGCCCCCCAAACTATTCTAATCCTTATCATGGGGACCTCAGAAATGGTACCCTTAATTTTGGGAAACCCCAAGCCAAACCCCAATCCCTAAACCCTACATGAGCAATGATCAATACTCGCGTATTCGGGCATCAGTCTAAGACTAAAGCATAACTGTGTTTTGGCTGAACCACCCAAAAGTGATACCTTGCCTTGTCCTGCACCAAAACCCCCAAAAGCGATAGGAACCCTAAAAGTTGTCCATGGCCAATTATACAAGGATTTCGGCGAACGCTCAGATACCTTTATATAACCTTGTATTATTTGTGGGAAACCCCTCCAAATTCTGATCGAGCGCTTGTCAAGGTCCAGTCGGGCACAAAGTTGGGTGCCAAGCTACCAATGCCTGCAGAGTTGCATGAGTTGCGGAGTCATTTTTGTTATAGGGGTGATATAGGGATAATGGAAAGTGGAAACTAATCCCACTCGCGCAGGATCTCGCAAGCCAAGATTCAAAGCGTTTTTTGAGGATGTGGGTTCCTAGGCTTCAGGTTGTTTTGAGGCCTTGGGTGAAGTGTTTGTGGGCCCAAGGTTCAAGCCTGAATTCGATGTGAAACTCAAATGCAGTCTGCGAACTATTTGTAAGACTAACTAACTAATGGTATGCCCGGTTGCAGGAGCTCTCAAGGAAAGTGGTCACAGCAATTTACTGGGCGCAGCTGAAGTTCTCCGGCTTGGCCGGGCTTTGGGAGCGGCTCCCCAGTCAAAACGCAGTTGGGGATGCCAACCTAGCATGCACTTGGGATATTCGAGCAACTTACTCAAGGTCCTTCTGCTCCAAATCTCACCAACTACCTCAATTTATCGTGTACCGGATAGACCCTGCCCCAGCCGGGACCTTTGCCTTGGGTCTGGCCTGGGTACCTGGCCCGCTAAAGGCAGCGCACTGCACTGCAAGGCGTCTCCCGCCAGCCGTCCCAGCGGCTCTCGCAACCTAGTGCGCCCCCGCTCTGCACTCGGCGGGGCAGGGATAGCATAGGAACACTGTATAGTTTACATGGTGGTTTCTCGAAAACATATTATGATGCCTCTTTCTGAAATTCATTCCTACTTACTAGCTGGGGTCATGGAAATTTGGGAAGATGCCGGTGTGATGCAGTTGCTGTTGACAAGCATGACGGCGGTGCTGAGGACTACAATTGTGTTCACCAATGTCTGAGGAATGGAGTACCCATAGAATGGATTGAGCAGTATCAAGGGTGGGCTTGTCATCAGATATCGTTTCGCCCGTAGCAGCCTGCACAGGACTTCAAACCTCGAAGCGAGAGAGTGAAGCTGTGACCCTGATTGAATCAAACTTCTGTCTGAACGGCCAGCCACCCTGAGTATTGACTCGACTCAGAAGCGCAAGTGCTAGAGCTTCGTTCCAGCACCTCAGGGTTTCCTTCGCGGAGCAGAGGGGGGACGGTCCCACGACGCCCAAGATCATGGACAAAGACCTGGCCTTACAGGCAACGACAATCTGTGTTAAAACGGGACCGGGGGACTGAGTCAGGCTGAGTGACGTGGCGCAGTTTGACAATTTCAGGTGATCCGAAGATCTCCAGTTCCGGAGTATCTGTCGTTACCGCTACAAAGCGATCGTTGCGGTTGGGGTAGTTGCTCGTGTAGTACAAGGATGGTACGGTAGTACTGTTGCTGTCGTCCTCCTCCGCGGGCTTGTTGTAGTCATTGTAGTCCTTGTACCTGCCCCTTTGCCTGCTTAGGAATTGGTACATTGATAGAGCTAACACTACCGCCGTAGTACACCAGGTGGCAACTGCACAAACGTCCCTCCTGGCCATCCGCTGGAGGTTACAGTAGATGCCACAAGACAGTCCTGAAGGCGAGTGAAGCTGTGCGTGGTGCTCTCGCTTGATATCGTTTGATGCCAGGCTTGGTTGGGCTGTCTGACGAAGGAGGCGCGCCCCGCGGTGTGACCAACATCTGGGAGAGTTGTCTCGATAATACATCCTATAGCTTCAACAGCCACTATCGCCCGTTTACGTGGCCTCTCCCAGAGCATTTGGCCAAAAAATGTTCCTAGCGGCAGGGTCTGCCTGTGTAAGCCAGCCTAGGCTAGGCTGGGAGTTTCTCTCAAAGCTAGGATTCCACATACATGCCCTAAGCATTCCAGTCCCTCTAAGGAGCTCCACAGAAGGATACTATGCAACTTCTGGCGCCATGGCAAGACCTCGGCAGGTGCAGCGCGTTGATGCCAACGTCAGACGAGGGCTGCAGGTTCGTTGCAATAGCGGTGACAAAGTAGGCCTCCAACAGTTGCGGATTCTCAGTTTCGTCTTCATGTTAAGCATGGCACCGCTTGGGGTATCTGAGGGTATACAAAGCTCTCACTTCAGCGAATTTCCCATGACAGTGTGCCAGAGCCATAGTCTGTATGGAGGAAGGGCTTGGGGAGTTTGCTGGCTATGGGCTTGACACGAAGGCTTCACTGAACCCTGTGCGTGGTTGCCCTTCGATTCAGTGGCTTGTAGATGTTTGTCTGCCGAATGTTCTTGATAAAGTGGATGGTCCTGGGTCCATCTTAAGAGTGTGCATGCCGGGATCCCCTTGCGCTAGAGGAGGGCTGGAAGATTTCATTGCATGTTCCAGCGGAGGGAGGTAAACGCCCTGCCCGTCTCGCCCGGAAGATCATGCGCAGGAGCTGCAACAACAATTCCTGGAACTGATGCAACTCTCGCAGCAGGGCCCTGCAGTCGAGCTTTCAAAGGTCATGTCGGACATGGCAGCTGATAGCATTGATTCTCCTTCGTCCGCTGCTTGCAGTAGAGGGCTTGCGACGTTGCTGCATGGGGGAAGCCTATAGTCACAGCAAGCGTTGTGTTCTTGCATGGCCCGCTTCCAAGAAAACGGAAAACATGGGATGATGTAGCTAATTTGGAATCCGCGTTGTGCCAGCTTAGCTGAGCCAGCTCAAGGCTTGCCAATGACTGACAGCCCGTTCAATGGGCAGGGCCTTCAGAATTTCGCCCATCATGTATGTGACGGAAACCGCAGTAACAAGAGCCATCATGCCAATGGCAGAAGCCAGACTCAATGTAGAGAGCAACACGACGCGGAGGCCTGAATTCTTGAATGCTGCTCCTGCTAACACCCACTTAGCCATAGCCCACGGCCTGTGATAGCACAATCACACCCGCAACTTGTTAGGTTGCGTAAATAACATGGTGACTTGCCGCCAGACGCAATGCTCTCCGGGATCTGGGCTTGCCGGGGGGACATCTGGAGGCTTCAGCGAAAGGTGCTAAAAGCACGACATGCCTCCGGTGCCGCCCAGGAACGCGGTGCCGCCGGCGCGGCCAGAACCCCCAGCAGCCAAGGCCAAGGCAAAGGGAAAGCCTGAGAAGCCGGACACAAAGGATGGAAAGAAAGCCAAGGATGCCAAAACTTCCCCTCCGGGCAAAGGCAAAGGCAACTCGGGCAAGCCTGGTCGATCTGCCAGCAAGACTGGAAGGACAGCGATTGAGGCAGTGGTTGTGGATGCTATCAAAGAAGAGCCCAAGCTAGAAAAGGTAACACAGATCAAGGGAGTCGAAGTAACAACAGGGCCGCAGCTGCCCCGAAAACTGCTTGAGAAGCTGGTTGACTTGCCGTTTGTGGCTGGATACCCCAAGCTGAGCCTGGAAAAGGTTTCCTTCCGTCCCAAGGTGTCAGAACGCCCAGCACCGCCCTCGCCCTCCCTGAGCCCGGCACGCTCGGGCACGAAGGTGTCTGAGCGTGGAGCCCCTCAGAAGTCGGAGCCTGTGGTTCCGCTGCCCCAGTTGGCCCCGGCGCCGGAGGAGGAAGATGGTCCAATGCTGCTGGTGGCAGTCGCCTCTGGGGTGGAACCATCTCAGCCTCGTTTGCTGCGAGTTGGGCCACCAGACCTCGTGGCCAAGGAGATGGAATTCGTACGCCCCTTCCAGGAAGCATACGGACCATGGTCGCCGGAGGCACAGGTCGTGGAGACTTTTTGGCAGCACGACATCATGATCCTCTCTGTAGCAGGCGGCCGATGCTTGTTACCGGCCGTTGCTGAACAAGGGGCACCGAAAGGTGTTGCAAGCTTCGCGCAGCGCTTCACGGAAGCCTTAAGCACGGGTGACCAAGAGTCCATCACCAGCGCAGTTAGCGCATCCTTGAAAGCCAGCCAGCTTGTATGCAGTTGGATCCTCATGCAGCCGCTGCTGAATGGCTGCGAGCAGCAAACAGTGAACCTAGCCCAGGTCTCAAGCTCACTGTTTGGCATGATTCCTAGGGTTTTTCCAAGTTTAGAAGAAAGGCACCACCCAATGCCACCAAAGTCTAAGCTCCCAAGCGGTTTGCTAAAATGGAAATTCCTAGGTGTTCAACAACGTGGAAAATCTGATTCTGGGCCATACAGAGCCGCAGCTGGGTGTGGAGTACTATGATGGCATGGCCCCTGACGTGGTCGAGAGCCAGCTTGGCGGACCCACAAGTGATGGAGTGGGCATCCCAGAGCTCAACAAGATGGTTTCGGACCTCATCCCTGGCATGAAGCAGACCCGACCCTCTCAATTCTTGGTTTGGTTCCAGGGTCAGATGCCCAGCACAGGGACCAAATGGAACCTTCCAGCTTGGTACAGCAAGAGTGCAGCGCCTATCGATTTCGACTGTGTCTTACAAGACGAGGACGGTCAGGCTTGGCTACCCGCCTAGTGCTGCATACCTTTCTTTCCTTTTCAAGTTGGTTGGGTGGCCTCCTTGTGGAAAAGTAAGCCGGCATCCCTGGTTTTTTCCAAGTCCTCGGATCTCAGGCTATCAGTTTGCAGTGCAAACTCCTCCTTTCTGCACTATGCCACTGTCCCTGCCACAGACAACAGTCTCAGAAATCGCCATGCGCTGACACGACTAGCTCGCTGGCTTCTGCTGCCCGGCACAACTGATTGGAGGCGTTTTTCTCATTTGAGACGAGTTTCATGTTGCTTGTCAGGGGTACCCATTAGATGTGTCTCACCCTGCCTTGGTTCTCAGTGTCTTTCCCACCTAGATGCCATTGTCTCGGTCTCTTCCGCTGTCGCTGGCCACGGCCCGTCGTGCTTGCAACAAAATCTACTTGCGGCTTTGACATGGGTACAGCTTAGTAAACCAAGAAGAGAGCCTCTTCATTCAACGCTTTGTCCAGTTTTGTCCATGACCATTCGAGCATCACAACGGAAAAGTACAAAACCGTGGCACCCAATTCATGTGGTCCCAGGGCAGTGGTGATGGGGTGGAATGCGGAGGCTAAAAACTCCGGGTGTCAGAACTCCCTGCACCTGCAGTCTACATATGTTCGGGGCTCTGGGTAACGAGTGCTCACGCTGCTCAGTGAACATTAATCAACCGCTGCATCTTAGGTCAGGATTGCTGCTATATGCACCCATAGAGTCTCCAGGGGACCAGAAGCATCTGCGTGAGCTCCTGATGATTCTGGCGAGCTTCTTGGCAAAAGCAAAGCAGCAACAAAGTAGAGTGTTGCGACGATAACTTCTGGTGTCAACTCAGGTATTCCCGACCAAGGTGTGGAGAACTTGGCGACCCCAGCCCCTCCACCAGAGGCTAGCTTGCAGGTTCGCTTTGTGTGGGCTTTCGCTCGACGCGTCATCCGCTGCTTGTGTTGGCACACAACGCGCCGCGTCGACGGGAAGACTGTTGCTCTTGAGAAGCCAGGCCTGCAGATGCTGTGGGCTTTGCTGGACAATGCCATTGCGATGGTGCCAGCAGCGCGCACGCGAAACAATCCTGAACGCAAACGGCTTGCTTTGTGGGCCAGCATTTGCTTTGCTGTGAGGTTGGCTGTGGTTTCTGACAAGATTGAGGAACCGGCTTGGCTGTCCGACAGATACAAGCTCTGGCGACCCCCAGAGGATGGGGGTCTTGATGTAGAAGGAGTGGCAGCTCACGTGCACATGATCCGTTTCGGCTTAGATGAGTCCTGGTCAACAGACCCTGTGACGAAGCAACTGAGATCCATCAATTGGGACGACCTGCCTTGGGAAGTTCTAGAGCGTGAGGAAGACAAGGTTCCTCTTTCAGAGTGTGTTGTTGCAGAAGAGGGCGTTGATTCAACGGAACACGAGAAGGACGTTGCAGGAGAGCATGATGCTACCGAAGTGGTGGCCCCGCCAGAGGAAAGTGAGGACGCAAAGCAGCAAGGGGTTGCCAAGACAATGCAGACGCTGGAAGGCACGATGGGCCACCTGGTTCGAAAAGAGTTAGAACTCAAGAGGCGGCTGGTCATTACTGGTGGGCTTGGAGCTGGAAAGAGATCACTTTCCAAGACCGTCATGGCAGACTTGGTCTTAGGTCAAGTGTGGCACGGCGACATCTTCAGGTTCCCACTGAGACTGTCCGTTGAACAGCTCTCACAGTATCTCCAGGCCGGAGCAGCAGATGCCTTGCAGCAGCACTTTGCATCCTGTAGGCACCTTGCTGCTGCCTGTGCCTGGGAACGTGCTCAGGCACCGCCCTGGCCAGCCCGGCTTTCCCACCAGGTGGTGCGCTGGGGGAACCGACTGCTCGTCCTTGGCGGCTACAGCAAAGAGCGGCTCAAGCCCTTGCAAGATGCTTGGATGTCACAGGATCACGGGCAGACCTGGGAGGAGTTGCCCACGCCTCCGTGGCCAGCGCGCAGTGGACACCAGGTCGTATGCTGGGAGGATAGACTGATTTTGCTCGGAGGAGTGGGAGATGAGGAACGCCGTCTACGTGATGCCTGGCAATCTTCAGATGGTGGTGAAACTTGGCAGGAGCTTCCCTGCCCGAAGTGGTCTGCTCGATACGGACACCGAGCCGTGGTGGTCTCACTGAAGGTGAAGGAGGCAGCGACGCCTCACCTACTCCTCATGGGCGGAAATGCCGCCGGCAACAAGGCAATGAAGGATGTGTGGGCATCCGATTCTGGAGGCTTCTCCTGGTTTGAGCTCGATCCGCTTCCTTGCAGCCCACGCTGGAACTTTTCCCTTGCACAGTTTCGCAACCAGATCTGGATCACAGGCGGTGCCGACGAGGTGCGACACCTCAACGATTGCTGGATCATGACACAGGAGCTGTGCACCAGCCGCTTCAGTTCGAACAGGGCTAGTATGCGGGCTCAGCAATACTGGGCAGATTCCACCTTTGGCCAACTCCCAAACTGTGAGAATCGTTGCTCATCCAAGTATGTCCAACTTTGGTAAAAATTTCCAACACTAGCTATCTCAATGCAAGCCCTTCTGTGCATGTGCCCATGTGTCCACTGAAGAGTGCGTTATCCTCAAAAGCCATGCATTTTGCCATATCCCAATAGTAGCATAATAGTAATAACCCCAATAGCAATAACAATAATCAGAATAACCAGAATATACCAGATTGAATACTAAGAGTAATAGAAATATTAATAAGAATGATAAGTAAGAATCTCCTGCAAGGAGGTCTGGCCGGGCCCCGGCAGCGGTTCCCACAGCAGCCGACGGAAGTCGGATGCTTTTGTGGAGCCGAAGGACGAGAACGCATGGAAGCATTTTTCCACTTCCTGGCCCCTTGAATTTATGATTGGGGCTGTTTGGGTTGTTCGGCTAAGGTTTAGGATTTGGGAGGTTTAGGGTTCTCCACTTCCTGGCCCCTTGAAGTTGATTGGGGCTGATTGGGGTGTAAGTGCTTCTGGGCTTGCTGGGGCCCTGGGCCTTCAGGATTGACTGAAGCGTTTTAAAGTGTTTCGGATGCTGTACGCCTGGAGAAGCGCTTCCCGGCGCCGTCTACCCCAAGTTGTCAGATTGTCTTCCTAGCACTATTACTATAGCGCAGGATGCAGGCAGCAAGCTGCCACACTGGGGTATGTTGAGTAAATGCAGGTTCAGCACTGAGACTTCAGGGTTTGCGAACCAGCGAGAAAAGAAGACGAAGAACCACACAAACGCAAGGTTCCCTCGACAATAAGGTCAAGCTCCCCCCATTTGTAAAGGGCACGCTCAACAAACGGACTTGTACTTGCAGCGCTGTCATAGACAACAGCCACAAGAGGGCTCCTCCGCAGATCCCATATTTACTGTTGTGGTCCATTGGGTTCAAGGTGCTGATGAAGTCTCTGATTTCAAGCGCCTCACAAGTAACCCTTGAAATCCTTCCTAAACGGCCTAAACTCCGAGGTTGAAACTATGCGCCCCTATGGCCGTTAATATGGGCGCTTAGACTTGGAAACCCTTATGTACTCCGTCTACACCCTATAAAAGCCTACAAGCCCAATTCGGGGCCACATTAACGGCCCATGGTTAGGACCTTAGACAAGCTATTCTCACAATGCTGCACAGCAGTTTCCCAGCAGTTTGTATTGAACTCCATAAATTCGAGTTTGTCCTGAGCTTTGCTTGAAGTTCTTGCAGGGGTTGCGAAGTGTTTAGCTGAGAAGCTGAATTCAGCATCTGCTTGCAAGCATCGGAGATTTTGATTTGGTCTTGGTAGCCTGGCTTGCCATTGTTCCGCAGCTTGCGGGCATTTCTCAGATTTCGGGCCTACTTCTGCTCCCAAGCTGTGGGTAGCTTGCCCCTTATAGCCCTTACATATGGGTGGTTGTCAAAATTATGGTGAATTTTTGGATCCCTATTATAATACGGCACCTAATATTTAGGGTACCCATGAAAGGACCACAATTTTGACAACCCCCCATATAATTTAAGTCTAGCCTTCTTCTTGTAGGCTCCCCGGAGACACTCCAACTTTCAGAAGTTTGGAGTCTAAGGTCTGAGCGCGCACTTCATCAGGCTCCCTGGCCTTGATGCTTCAGTGAGCCATGCCAACTCGAAGGAAACAGGGTTCAGGATGTAGGGCCAATGTAGGGTTCAGGGGAGGCTGTTAGGATCATATGACAGTAGATTTGCACGGCTCGAGTTCCAGATCGCAGGCTTAAAGCTTTTATGTCCCTGAATCTGCATGAACTTAAGCCTTTTGTCTGATGATGCGCAGGGTCGAGGACACCATTGGATTTTGAGATCCGAAACGCCACTCTTGTCATCATGGCTTTACTTAAGCGTGCCGTCATATGGGCATGAAGTATCATGTCCAATTATGGCCCGTGTGGCTATGAGTCAGGTGTTGCCCTTCCGGGGCCAGCTGGCAGTGTTCGGTGGAGTGAACGGGAGTGGCAAGGCCGGAAAGAACATCCAAACGATTGACGGTTTTAATGGTGACAGAGGGAGCAAGCTCAGGTTCGCCTTCGTGAATCCTCGTACATCACAACAGGGTATAGGTTTCTCGCTGGGCTTGCTTAAGGCAACAGATCATTTATCAGGTGAATGGATCGCCATTTAATTGCCTTGTTGGCTTCGCATGTGTGTTACAGGCAAGTTACTGGTGTGTTTGGGCGCAGGGCTTCTGCAACATGTTACACTAGGCGCGCTAGGCGCCCTAGCATCACTGTAAGCAAGGTTTTCGTTGGAATCGACACTATCAAATGATCCCTTCCTGCATAATCCTTCCCAATAACCCTAGTATTGCTAAGGTCCCATGTACGCTACGGTCCCATGTATGCAATGTTGAGAAACTCGCAAATCATCATCTCTGGTTGGGCTGCCGCTCTCTCAACCAGACCACCTTGGCTTTACAGTCGTTGCCTCCTTGCCAACTGTGATTGAGAGGTTCTCGCGGATGCATGGCTGTCAGAGGACAAGAGTTGGTATCGGGCAAATGTGGGAGTGCAAATCCAGTTTATGAAAGATACATCCTGCGGCCATGGCAAGCAACCTGCACCCTTCTGCTACCCATTGGTCCCGACAAAGAGATCAATATAATGGTAATGATGTGCGAGGCACTGTGCATTTTGTGTCTGCGGGGTTTTAGACTACAAGTAGATCAGCAGAGGTTGCGCCAGAGTATTGTCCTGCAAGCACATGGCCGGTAGCTAGACGTCCAGACAAGCAGCAAAAATCAGACAGTAGTTTCTGTTTATCAGCTTCAGAAAGGCACAGTTGTTTGGAAAGCTTTCTATGCCCACTTGAAATGTTTTGGGACAGTGGAGAACCAAACGTCATATGGCTGCCTTATTGCACGAGAGCAGAGAAGGATGGAGAAACGTGGCATCAGCTTCCCCACTCCTCTTGGGTGCCGGTAGCAAACCGCTTTGGCCAGCAGGCCCGGCGGGGGTTGGGTTTTTTTTCCGTCTCAGGGCTTCAGGTTTGGGAATTGATCAGGGATGGTATGAGCAGCTAAGAAAGGCCGCCCGCGGGGCAAGATTGGGTAATTCAATACTCATTATGGCCTGGGCTGGCTGTTTCAAAGAGATTCCTGTAAGGGGCAGTTGTTCGCAGCAAAGCCCCTCGTGCCACGGTCCAGGCCCATTGGGAGCATTTGAACGCAAGGTTTCAAGATTTCCAAGGTCAAGGTAAGCATGATCTGTCGGTTAAGCCCCGGACAGACAGCCCTCGATACCAGAGCTGCATCCTGCTACACTGCTACACCCTTCAGGCAGTAGGTATTCTGAGAGGACACCCCGAATTGTTTGGGCTTGCTCTACTACCCATTTCGTGGCTTGCTGATGCATCTACATCTACACGCCTTTCTGGTCCCTGGCTGAGCTGCACCTTCCGCCCCCGAAACCCACCCAAGGCCTCAAGCCTTCAACCCCCACACTCCTCAATGCGAGCCTGCGCACCCTCCAACCCTTACACCGTGACGACTTGATCAGCTCTCAGGTGGTCCAGCTTGAGGATGGCTGGGACCTTGGTTTCTATGAGGTCTCTGTGGCTTTGGGTTTGGGAGCTTCTGCGGATCTTTAGGGATCTCCACTGCATGGATGAAACAGATTTCTTGATGTTCTGTTGGGAATTGTCGTGGACTTAACACCTATATGGGGATGAAAGGCGGACGTTCCGCGGATTCGAAGTCAAAAGAAGTCTCGCTCTCTTGCTTCTAAAGGTCGTAAAGGCGGGAGGCATGTCTGACGGGCAGCACTCAGGAGTTGCGTCCGAAAGATCACAACAAATCGAGTTCGTCTGGCTTGCTTCCCGCGCCGAGGTCGCGGCATGGTTGTGGGCGGCCATGGTGGTGGCCGGGATGTCTTCAGATCCAGGCATTGCTCCGCTTTGGCGAATACTTTCGAGATTTTGGAAGTTCTTCAGGTAATACACAGCTTGTGGTCCAGAGCTTATAGTTCCATATCGTGTGTTCCAGAGTTCTGATGAAGTGACGATGTGCGAGCCATGTGATAAGCAGGGGCAGCCGCCACTCCAGCTCAGTCAACATGAGTTTCGTGATCAACTTAGCTCGGCAGCAATTTTGGACCAACTTGCTGTCATTAGCAAAGGATCCTTTACTCGCGTGGGCAAGAACGTAGGGGCGCCATTTTTGCACCAATCAGGCCAGCTTGAAATGGCATTGCGCCCAACGGCTCATAGCATGCTAGCTTCTCAACGGTTTTTTGATGAATCCATGTGGCGACGGTCAGAAATTTTGCTGTCGCACAGTCTGCTTTTTTCATTGTTGCCGACCACTATCATGACATTGCTGGGGAGCCCCCAATGAAGAAAACCAAGAAATCCAACCGGCTGCAGGTTGTTCGCTTTGGCTTTAGAGGGCCTTGACGAGGACTTGGTCAATGATAATTTGGTGCTCGGCTGAGATGACAATCCAGCCGGCCTTAAGAACAGCTTGCTCTATAATTATTCGGTCTCATGCTATGGATCTATCTGGTGAGTACGGAGACATGTTCCCCTGCAGTATGACATACATATGGTTACCGTCAGGCGTAATTTTTGGCACCCAACATTCAAGAGAGGTCATATGTAGTGGAGTTGGAGCGCAGCGCCGAACAATGTGATTTCAAAATTGTTGAGCACATGAGAATACTGAACCTGATGCAGACTTCAGGCGTTTGATACTCAAGCCCACGCCTTGCATTAGAATCGAGCGCACAATGGATCAGGCCCCCCACCTTTCCGTTGACCTCCACAGCATGGCTTGAGTTCTGTAGTTCGGCTGGTAATCCCAACCTGCGACCTTGAGACTCCACACAGAAACGTCACAGAAGCCTTCCAAAGATTGCATGTTTGGGATTCCTTTGCAAGTCCTCCTGACAGGCCGGCATGTTAGTCTTGTGTGCACATGATTCGCGCAAAAAAGGTCGTGGACTACTTGGACAGGCGCCCCACTGAATGTCGTTGCCTTGCTCAGCATGTAGTCTAATTAGATGTGTGGGTGACGAGCTCTGTTTCTTCAGCGGGCCTTGCTGGAGAGCTGGGTCCACGATACATCTAGTTTCTGCAAACTCACACGTTCTGTTGGTCTGGTAAAGAGCGTCTTTGGTTCGGTCTTGGGTTTCACGATAGATCCACAATCAAACCTAAGTAGCAAGTGAAGAACCAGTTGAAAGCCAGTTATGCAAAGCCGCTTCGTATCCGGAATTGTTGAAGCTTGATGGCATCTGTATAGGCCAAGGACAGGGAGGCTCTAAATTCTTGTATGACTGTTTTGGCACACAGGTCGTTTGACATTGCAAAGCAGTGGATACTCATGGCTGACATAGCGTCACGTAAAGAAGCGTCCCAGACGCTTGCATTTTGCCGACATTGCAGTCCAGTCGCGTTGTTGAAGCAATCCTTCCTAGCAAGCCGGAGTAGCCACTGATTTGAGGTACCTTTTCGAGCGCTTTGAGCTCCATAAAGCCTTCAGGAACTCCTCCTGAGCCCCAAGCAGTGGCAGGTTGTTGACCTACGAGCCAGGGCATGTGCTGCTGGGCGTAAGCTCTTTGCCAGGCGCTTGACTGGATTTCCATGAGTGCTCCAGCAGCATAGACTTAAGTTGACCTCCAGAAAGCTAGAAATGCATTTGTTCATTGCCACGTCTTGGTGGCGAAAGGCATTGTTTCAGGATCTGCCTGGCTTGGTGGAAGCCCTCCAGAGGCTGGACAGGTACTGCATCCCAAAGAAGACCAAGGCAAGAGCTTGGCGGCGAGAGCCCAACAGCCGAAGGCGCGCCCAACCTTTCTGCAGATGCATGAGACGCAGCAGCTTGCTTTTTTCTTTGAGAACGCACGGAGACGGCATCAGAAGCCAGCGTACCCTGTCACCAGTTGTCCGCCGCCGCTGATGCCAGGTGATAGGTGTGCGGGGTCTGCAGTAGATCGTTATAGATTCCCAGCACTACAGGCTGCAGCAGGTGCTGGATGTTTCCCACCAGCCATGGAGCGCAGCCCGAGAGCTTCCTCGAAGGAGATGCAGTGACCCTGGATAGGCTGCAGCCGGTGAGGCAGCTGAGTGTAAACAGCGCCCGCATCTTGTACAAGGAGGCCTCGGCAGCTTCCACAAAAGCATTTCTTGCGCAAGCCTGCCTATAGGAGTCTAGAATCGGATAGCAACCTGAGGTGGGCTTTCTGATTGACAGCTTTCCAAAGCCCGTGGTCCTGGCCGACGCCCTGGTCCCGGACTGCCCCATTGTGGGCGCATCGGACTCTTTCGCAAGGTTATGCGGTTACTCCCGTGACGAGATCCTTGGGAAGAACTGCCGATTTTTGTTGAAGGATGTGCCCGGCTGCTGCATCTCAAGGTCAGGGCGCAAGAACCTTAGATCCATGATCCGCATGTGTCGACTCATTGGTTTGTCTGCTATGGGAAGCACCAGCTGCTGTCAGACCAATCGCAAGCGCGACGGGGAGACCTTTCTGAACATGTTTGCTGTGGGCCTTGTCCTCCTTGACGAGCACCCATTTCTAGTTGGGGTCCAGTCAGAGATGGGCACTGCGGATTCTACAGCCCATGTCAAGCAGGACCAGCATGCCCTGATTGAGCAGATCCGTGTGATCTTGCAGCAGGGCTTGTCGGAGAATGCAGCAGCTGTCCTGGCTAAGGAGCACTTCCTCCCACCCAGGCCAAGAAACCTGGCGGGCTCTCCTGCATTCTCCCCAACAGCACTGACCGAGAGGGTGATCCTTTTAAACGACCGGAGGACGGTCATGAGGCGAGAGCCATGTGAGATCCCCAACGGATGCGTAGTGATCACTGAGCAGCCCCTCCGGCGAACAAGGCAAGGCCTCTTCTTCGCGGTGCGCATGGAAGGCGTCCTCCGGGAGGGCTGGCACACTAGCTGGCCCATGCTAGGCATGACGGAGATCCCCCCGACAGATGCTAAAAGACTGTCAGGCATCATGTTGGCTTTTGTTTCCTGAGGGGACAATTGCTTTCATGTTCGACATGTTTGGACATGCACCAAGCCTGGCCCAGGACATGGTGCGTGATGGGTATCCCCTGCGAGCGGAGTGGTGCGCCAAGAGCGTTTGCATCGGCGGCGAGTTCCAGGCCTTTGTGCGGGACAAGGCCTCTTGCAGTTGCACTGAGCAGAAAGCTAGTGTGGAAGAACGAGGGTCGGTTACAGGGCCAGGGTCCTTTTGAATCTTGCAACATGATATAGTCAAACCGAATGTCTAGCAGCGAGCCATTTCGCACCGGTTTACATGAAGCAGAGCCTTCTTCATTGAAAGGCTCGGCACTACGAAGGCCGTGGCGCCGCAAGCCCCGATGAGCTCCAGATTTTCGACGGGCCCCGGCCACGATGGCAGAACCGCCCCACGACGCCTTGGGATCTTGGGGAGGGAGACGTCATGGGTATGCTCTATACGCCGCAGGGGGACATCCACCTCATGATCAACTACCAGTCAGTGCTCAGTTTCTCCACTGGGAAGCCGTTGGAGGCGCGGGACTACTATGCCTTGGTCGACTGCCGCGGGCAAGCCTACGAGCTAATGCTTTTGCCCTACGAGATGCCCGTGGTGGGCTACATGCAGGAGTTGGCACTTCAGCCTCTCATCTCCCACAAAGTCGTCGACCACGTGGCAAGAACGGCTGCTAGCCGAGCAGTGTCCAACTGCACATTCTCCATCTCCATTGCCGATCCCTCCTTGCCAGATATGCCGCTTGTAGCGGTCTCCAAGGCCTTTGAGGTCATGACTGGTTACACCTGCGAAGAGATTGTGGGGCTGAACTGCCGCTTCCTGAACCACGACTGCGAGATGACTACTCGCCAGCGCTACGAGCTTAGGAAGTCCTGCCAGACCGGAAAGCCCTTCACTGGCCTACTGGAGAACCGTCGCAAGTCCGGTGAACTCTTCGTAAACCTTCTTGACCTGCGTGGCCTGAGCGTTGCGAAAGATGCAGAGACAGGCGAGCAGATTTGGTATCTCGTAGGCATCCAGTCAGATGTGACAAACCTCGTGGATCGAGATGGCCAAGCCCCAAATGAGATCAGAGAGAGGCACGCTGTAGAGCTACAAGATGTAGCGAACAATCTGCGGCGTGAGCTTCAGCACGAGTTTGCTGAGCTTGCTTTGACCTCCAGGAATGCAGTTATCAGAGAGACAAGTCATGGTGCAGAAGTGCAAGTCGAGTTTGGGAAGCACACGGGTGAGAATATCGTCAGCGTCCCTGCCGCCCCGGGCATCGAGCGTGGGCCCAAGCCAAACCTGGTACCAATGATCGCCCTTCTCTCAGAGCCTGGTTGGGTGAAGCATGACGCAGAGGACGATGACAGTGAGCCTGAACAAGTAGATAGGCATGCAAAGAAGACCACCCACCGACTGAAGACTTGCTCCAGTCTTACTGGCTTTCAGGAGAGGGTAATGTCCGTTCCAGCAGTTTTCCGCCGCCAGTGGTCCTTCGGGCCCATTGCTGGCGCCTTTGTACTCGGCATCAGTAGCGCCCTCGTTTGCCAGCTCTTGTTACGTCAACGGAAATAAGCCGGAGGTGAGCTGAGCTCCGGCCTGTACAGACACGGCTTGTAAACTACCAGACTTTGCGAAAAAGAGATCTGTGCAGACAGAAGTGCTGTCTGGCCAGACAAGGCTGAGATGCCGTTTTTCATTCTGTCAAGGGCCCTTGGAGACCGTTGCCTGAGGGCACTCTCGGACAAAAAGGAAGCGCACGCGGAGGTAGGGATGCAACCTGTCCCTGGCAAACCTGTAGAATGCCAAGACTATCATAGCGACTGGGCGTCAAGGTTTCAACAGCTGCCGGCACAGCCACCTTGCATGGTCTTGTTCCATGCGGCTGACTATAAGTGCTAGTGCAATTTGAGATTCACATCTTCAGCCTCAAGTCTGCAACACAGGCACAGAGGTTACTTGAGCTAGAGACCGCTTCTCATAATTTCTTGTCATGTTATGGTATGACCAGAAGCCTCCAAATAATCGTTCATGTTTGCGCGCCCTTGCCGCCCCACGTGATCCTTACTGTAATCAACACACGCTCACAAATTATTTACTTCGAGCATCCCCACCCTAAAGCCGTTATTGCACAAGAAATGTAATGTTTCCGGGGGGATTGGGGGCAAGAATATGACAGATTGTGGTCTGACAATGGGGTTGGGCACTGCAGGGATGCTCTGCTGTTGGGCGCTGCAAGAATACTCTGCGGTTGCTGTTGGTCATTGCAGGAATGTTCTGCGGTCGGGCACTGCAGAGTGCAGGGATACGCTGCGGTTGGGCACTGCAGGGATACCTGGTGGTTGGGCACTGCAAGGATACTCTGCGGTTGGGCACTGCAGGGACACTTGCAGTTGGGCACTGCAGGGATACTTTGTGGTTGGGTACCGCAGGGATGCTTGGTGGTCGGGCACGGCGGGGATGCTCCGCGATGGGCGCTGCAGTCAGGCTCCGGGCGGAGGGCGAGGACAGCATAGACTTTCAAATCTAACAACCCCACTGCGAGGGTGGAGAACAAACGGAGATTTTCAAGCCTGCCGTAACCTAGCCGCATGTTATGACATTTTCAGAGACACACGCACTCTTTCTCTCTCTGTCTCTCTCTCTCTCTCTCTCTCTCTCTCTGTCTTTCTCCCTCTCTCTATATATATATATATCTCTCTCTCTCTCTCTCTCCCTCTCTTCCCCGCTCCCTACCACTAATACAAAAGAGTCGGTGCATATGAGTTACAATACACTGGGCAGGTGGCAACCCTGCAGCAGACGAAGCGCCAAGCGGCACACCCTGTCTCCGATCCCTCCTGAGGAGGTGGCCTTGTCCTGGGGCAGGGGTTATACATATATATATATATATACACCCCAATAATGGAGAATCACATGGAAAAGACCATGTAAAAATGAAATGCAAACAAGCATAGGATGAATTCCAAGGTTACATGAAGCAGCCCAAGACATGTGGATGGAGAGCGTCCAAGCAAGGAAAACCTGCCAGGTCAGCGCTGCGTTGCCGCTGTAAACCGAATTGGAACATACTACGTGTATGCCAACAAGTTGTTGTAATGATTTAATTCCATGAACAACGAACGCCACAGTGCCATAGTTCCATTTCCACACTCACATTGTTTGTCAACATGGGCCGGACACGTTTTTGCAGCGCTAGACCTCGAGGGCGCGATCAAAGGGCCAACAACGCTGGCTTTTCTGGGGGCGTCCTCGTAAAAGGGTTAAATGACTCTGGCAGTGGAAATCTGACATCCCCAATCTTGAGACGTACAAGCCTGAGAGCATGATTCCTGCTCGCTCCTCATTTAGTTAGGATCGCGTGATGTTTCTACGGTTTTGGGTCCAGAGTCGCAACATGCCCATGCGAGAGTTTCACAACATGATCCCAAGGGAATCTGTGAGGGGAAGCCTGGCCCCTATACATCCCGCAGATTCCTGAAAGTACCCGCATCGTGCCACGAGAAAGTCACAGGTGGCAATTTGCTGAGCCGGGGGCTCAGTCGCGCCTTACGCTGAGGGTAAGGGTTTGGTGTTGTTGGCTTTTTTTTTTTTTTTTTGGCTCT